TGCCCATCACCCCTCCCTTTCCCTTTCCCGCCACCTTTCTTTCCCTCTCCCTCGCCAACCCCTCTGCCCGTCACCCCTCTCTCTCCTTCCCCCGCCACCCCTCGTCTCCCTCTCCCTTTCCCCTTCCTTCCCCCGCCACCCCTCTTCTCCCTCCCCCTCTCCTTCCCTCTCCCCATCCCCCTTCCCTAGCCCGCCTCTGCAAAAGAAAACTGGCACCTAAGTTTTGTAGCAACAGAAACAATTTTTTTTTCCAATTTTCCCTCTCCCTCTCCTCTCCTTCTCTTGCCGGTAGATGAAGCTTCAACAGGAAATTTTTTTTTTTTTTGCAATTTTCCTTCTTCTCCCCCACGCCACCCCTCACCCTCCCCTGGTGCGATCTGGTCTCGTGACCAGATCGGCCAGAGGGAAAGGGGAAGGGTGGTAGGGAAGGAGTGGGGAAGAGGGAGAGGGAGAAAAAAAAAGAAAGAGGATCAAAATCAGGCAAAGAGGGAGGATGGCATGGGAGGAAGAAGGGGAGAGGGAGAAAGGAAAAAAAAAGACCAGCACCGGAAGAGGTGATCAGCGCCGGAACTGGCAGCGGAGGTGGTGGTGGGTTGGGGTGGAGGAGGAAGAAGAAGAAAGGGGAAGGGAAATTTTTCTTTTTTGTGTTTTGGATATTTTAAAATGTGTAGGTTAAAAATTTTGATAAATTTTTGGAGTTCCTGTAACAAAAGTTATTAAAAAACTAGTATCATACAAACTTGCCTAAAAACCAAAGTTCCAAACCAGGCCTTTGTTTGTATGTCTTTCGGCTTGATTGGGAAGATGAGTATAAAATACAAAATTGTGTTCTGTGTCAAATGGGAAGATCATAGTTATTAAACTCGGCCCGGCCTGGCAGTCGGACTGGTCAACTCGGTGAACCGGTCATTGAACTGGGCCGAGTTTTCATTTAGATCGTTTAAGCATAAGAATCGTTGATTGGTTAATGACCCGGCGGTTTGACCGGTTTAAATCGGGAATTGTGGACAAAACTTTAGATTGCTTTTGGTAGGATTCGAACTTGAATCAAATCTTCTCACCAGAGCACCGTTACCACCTAGCCACTTAGTAGATGTTGGTGAGGTAACTTTCTTATAATATATAAATGTTTTATCAATTCTATTTTTATTTTTTTATTTCTCTAAAACAAATTTATTTGAAATATTTTAATAAAAACTTATGAGACCCCAAACTCTATAAGTTATAAAATAGATTTCAAAAATAACATATTACATAATTCATTTTAAAGATAAATATTATTTTTAATATTTTTTTGCACTTAAAATTCATAAATAAGCTAGATAATTATACTAAATATAGATAAGATTTTACACTTTAAGTTTAGTGGATTACTAAATAAATTTATATTTTATTGATTCTTATATGAATTAATTATTCTATAGTGAATTAAATTAAATGAACATTTGCTATGGTATTATTTATTACAATTTATATCATATATCTTATATAAAAAATTATGTAAACGTAATATTTAAATATATTTAGTGACCCACCGGTTCAATCACTTATCCACTGGTTGAACCAGTAATCCGTTGACCCACCTCCTTCACTGGGTTCCTTCCCGAGCCGGGTTTAATAACTATGGGGAAGATAATGTTTCGATTATGTGGAAAAATGGCATTGTAGTATCGTTGTACATCCCAAAGTCTTGGTCGTCTTGGTTTGTCTTAGCCCGTTAGCCCAGAATACACGTCAAATACTTATAAAAATGCCTTGGAGAAAAAATAGATGAAGAAGTTGAGAGAGCGTGTATGACCAAAAGTGAGCTGAGAGTGAGTGCTCAATATAGCCACAAATATTGGCGTAATGAATGCTTGTTCTTTGACAGGTGTTGAGTTTGTACAATAATAAATACCTATTCAAATAAAATATAAAATTTGCATATAATGGTGAGAAGGGTCGAATCTACAGGGACTGAGAATAATTCATTTCTTCTAGAGCACATAGTAAGAGACATTTTTATAAAAATGAGAATAATGAAATAACTCAAATAACAAGGCCTAACTGATAAGTTATTAAATTGAAACATTAATAAATAAATTCTAACCAAGGTATAATTTTGGATGGTTCACTAAAATTGATCACTGATGCAATAATAATTTAATTTATTAACGGATAAATAAAGTTATAACTGTCAAACACGCGATGACAATCAACTTCTTCTTGCTATATTGGTGATTAAGGTATGATCGTTAACTACTGTCCTAATCAAGAAGTAACCCTAGGTACGACCTTAGAGTTCAATTTTTCAATTGCATTAACAATTAGAGAAGCCCTATTCTAACCAAATAAGACGTTACGAGAGTTATTTTAAATTAACTCATATGTCCGCTGACACAAATCCAATCATGATAGTTACGATTATTGTAAAGCAATTAAATAAATACAGATTTAACTACTCTAATTGATTTTAGGTTATTAGATTGAATTAAATATCGAACGCCCTTGATATTCAAACAATATAATACCAATAAGAAATTAAATTAGAGAACGTACGAATACCAGTAATAGAATTAAATATAATCAATTCGATCTCAAAATTTTAAATGAACCAAATCCTCTATTATTTTTTACTAGAACAAAATGTTTAGTTCATCATAGGGCTGCAAACAAGCCGAGCCGAGTCGAGATTTGGCCTTATCGAGTTGAGCCTTGACTTAATTTCATCGAACTCGAACTCGAGCTCGAGCTCGACGAGCTGGTAATTTTCAAGATCGAGCTCAAAAAAAATAAAAAATAATTATTTTATTTTTTAAAAAATAAATAAAATAATATTTTTTCTTAATAAATAATAAAATATTAAGGATATTTATGTAATTTTACTATTAAAAATAAAAATTAAAAAAAATAAATATATATACTCGAGCTCACGAGCCGGCTCGCGAGCTAACGAGATTAATGTTTTGAGCTCGAGCTCGAGCTCGACTCTGGCTCGACCAGCTCGACCTCGACTCGAGCTCGATCAATATCGAGCTCGAGTCGAGCGGCTCGATTCGTTTGCACCCCTAGTTCATCATCATGGAAAAAGGCATGTGCGAAATATTTGAGTTTAGTGCTGCAACCCTTCTCCAAAAAGTGCGATGAACAAGAAAAGAAAAGACGTCCGTTCATTTCTTGTGACAAAGGAGAAAAGAAAAAGTTACAATGCTATTTTTTCGGATTTCATCTCCTATATCTCCTATAAAAAGATTGTTTCCAAAAGTCAAGATAACTAACTAAACTGGTGTCCTAATAGAAATAGGAGACTAGTATGCGCTGTAGAGTCTGACTTCTACGGCTTCAAATCGACTAAGATTCAAGATTAAAAATCACGTGCCAAATCCCGAGTTTCTGAACATGTAAAGTTAGACATTGATGCACCTACATCGAAGTGCATAAAAACCTAGTTAAAAACCACGCTCTTAATTTCTTTTCGCTCCGGATCCCTACAAACAACACCAATCACCAAAAATAAATAGAATCTACCAATTAATACAATGCTTGGCCAAAATTAAGGGGAAAACAATCATAAATTAAATGACAAAATGCAACCTATTAGTGCTTTTCAAAAAATGCCTGTATGGAAGAACACGAGCACTTAATGTTGTGACTCATATATGTTTTCTTAAAGATCAAAATGTGAATGAAAAAGTTATCCAAATATTCTTTTAAGTGTAATCTGCATCTTTTTATATGTTTCTACGGTTTTAATCTTTAAAAGATTATGTAAAAGGGTTTTTTTAATACTTTCTTCCAAGTTTTTTAGACACTTTCTTCCAATTTTGGCCATTTAATTCTTTGATACTTCATTTGTTGCTTGTTGGGGTTAGGCACTGTCATTTTTTATACTTTCATTTGATAGTTTATTTGCTTAAACAAATAAATTTTTGATTAAAAAAAAAAACTTTGGCCCAACAAGTTCAATCACCTTTCAACTTTCATTTTTTAAAAAAATCAATTTTCCAAGCATGTTTCTAATTTCAAAGAAGATCGAGTTTAGTTTGAAGAGACATTAGCCCGATTAATAAAAGATTCATGGTTGGATTCTTTTGTCTTTTATATTGGATTCTATTGTTTAATTATTATACAAATTTGGATTTTTTATTCATCATGTGTTGTTAAAGTGTATGTCTAGAGTTATGAATGAACTTCCTGTATCTTGTTTGTGATGTTTACTTGATTATTTGATACTATGATTTTGAACAAGTTATTTAACAATTTTATTTATCTAATCATGATTACTAGCCATTAACTATGATAATTTCAATGTATTAGATTTGCAATGAGAATTAAAATTTAACACTAAGTGCACTCACGAGAGTAGACGTGCACTTTTTTTTGGCTTTGGTGCTATTATTTCATGTAATTTCACTGAAAAAATGAACTTATAGCTAATTTTATAATTACGAGAGTAATTATAGTTTGATAACAAGTATAGATGATTCACTACAAGAATATGTTTTACATAGATTATGAAATTACACCATGTTTAGTTAACACTCAATTAATCAGTAATTTTACTTGTAAGAGTAGGAAGGAATTTTATAACCGTAGGAGCTTTGTAATGTCATTTTCACTTTATTTAATTTTATGATTGTAGATTAGATTTACTTGCTTTAATTTGTGGTTATCTAAAGAATAAAGCAATTGAAAACTATTGGTAATTGACAATTTTTCCTGGGGAATTGACACCTAATATCCCCTATAAATGATCTGGGAGAAAATAGAGGGTATTTAGGTTTTTAAAATTTATGTAAAATAGAAAATAAAAAAGAACCAGCGCGTGTTGACTTGCTATACAGAAGTATGTTTTAATCTGGAAGATAATTCCAAAACCAAATTTCATACGGTCAGTATTCATGCTATTATTGTCCTGGCATACGTGCATTAGATGTACCAAGTGTCTGGTATATGTATATAAGTACATGTAATAGACATTATTAGCCCGTGTCTGTTGTCTTAAATGCTAGCAAAACTGAGAGTATAATCATGAAGAAATTATCTCACTTGTATTTTTCCCTTGGACTCGTCTTGCTATGTTCTCTCTTATCTTGCTTAGCCATGGCCCCCCCCAACATTACCACGGATCAATCAGCCCTTCTCTCATTGAAAGCCAAAATCACTGGGGATCCTCACGAAATCTTGGCAAGCAACTGGTCGGCTACTTCCTCAGTTTGTGACTGGAGAGGAGTCACTTGCGGCTCTCGCCGCCGTAGAGTCACTGCCTTGAATATCTCCAACTTGGGCCTCACCGGCACCATTCCTCCACAACTGGGCAATCTCTCCTTTCTCATGTTCCTCGATATGAGCAGGAACAACTTTTACGGCGAACTTCCCCATGAATTGATTCGTCTGTTCAGGTTACGAGTCCTTAGTTTAGGCATTAACATGCTTAGCGGAAATATTCCCTCTTGGGTTGGTTCCTTCCAACAACTCCGACAATTTTCTCTGGAGAACAATAGCTTTACAGGCTTTATCCCACCTTCTATCTCCAACCTGTCAAAGCTAGAGACGTTCAATCTGCAGTTTAATTCTCTACAAGGAGCAATACCAATGGAGATTGGGAAATTAAAAAAGTTGAAGCATTTAGTCCTGAACTATAATCAGCTTTCAGGGTCTCTGCCACTGGGGCTGTTCAATATTTCCTCGCTGGAAGTTATTGGTTTACAAGGTAATAGCCTATCTGGCAATCTTCCCGTTGGCATATGTTCCTGTCTTCAAGGACTCACATGGCTTGACCTTGGCCTCAACAAATTAAGTGGTGTGATACCACCATCGTTATCGGAGTGTTCGAAGCTTCAGGTACTGTGGTTGTTTGACAACAACTTTAGTGGAGTGATACCGGAAGGATTTGGGAACTTGACGGCGCTCAAGCAACTAGGTCTTAGCGGGAACAATTTGATTGGTACCTTCCTAACTATTTGATATACTATTAAAAAAGAGCTACATATTGCTAGTTATATATTCTCAAACAATTAAATAATATATTGATTAGTAATTTGAAGGCTTGTATGAAGGAAATCCTGAAAGGTAATTATAGAATACATAAAGGTAATTACTTATCAAACCTGAAAAAATAGTTGGTAACACTTTCGGTAACTAAAGAAGAATACAAAGAATTTTCTTATTAAACATATGTGGTAGTAAAAAAGACCGTATAACATTTCCAGACGTAATAATCAAAATATGAATGACACAATCAAACCTGAAAAAAAAAAATTGTGTGAAGTTATATATATATATATATAAGCTTGAATCTTTTTATATGGTTTTTTTTCTAGATTTTATCATGTTTGTTGACGGGTATTTTACATACGTGCAAGCTAAAAAATACCGAATTACACCCGTTCACTGCAAGTATACAGATCAACTAGTAGTTTAGGGTATATATCGGGTCGATCCCACAAGGAAGAGTGAACAATTACCGGTATTACTAAAGCTTCTCTATTATTTAGACTATCAATAAATTATAACAAATTTAACCTACTGAAATTATACAAAATAACAAATGAAAGCTCCTTAGGTTGTGGTATCCCTAACTACTCATGCAAGTGTTATATTTGGATCATTGAATACTACATCTAGGCTAGTTATGGTGTAATTTCCTTAAACATGTGAAACCTACTTTCGTAGTGAATCAACTATACTCATAACTAATTCATACCTATTCTCATGGTTATGAAATTAGCTACAAGTTCATTTCTTCAATGAAATTACATGAAATGAATCACTAAAAACCACATAAGTGCACCTCTACTTTCGTGAGTGTACTCCCTATGTTTAGCACCTCTTGAACTAGTGTTAAATCTCAATTTTCATTGCAGAAACAACACCTTAGATAATCACAATCAATGGTACCAGATTAATCATGATTTAAGAAGCCAAAGTGCTAAATAACTTGCTCAAATCATAGCAATCAAATAACCAAATAATAAACACTAACAATCATAGAAAGTTCAACCAAACCCAAGACTTAAACTTTAAAAACACATATTAAACACAAAATCCAGAACTTGTATATTAACTAAACTTAGAATCAAGTACAAAAGATAAAGAGTTTGGAAGGAATACAACCCTTGTCACATGAGTTTTCTTCCTTACCTTCTTCATCCTCCATCTTCTTCTTCATCTAGCTAATAACAAGAATGGATGAACTACTAGCTAAACTAAACTAACCTACTACTAAGAAGATGAAAGAACTACATTGTTACAGACCAAGTTTTTCCCGTATCTCTCTCTATCTCCCTTTTCTCTGCTATGAACTCCATCTCTTTTGCTCTATCTCCTCTCTAATCTCTGCTATCCCCTCCCTTCTCTTGCAATCTTGGCTCTTTTATGATGAAAGGTGGTCAAGAAATGAGGCCTCCACCTTCCTTTTACAGCTGGAGATGTTTCTCACATGTCTAGCATCCCATGTGAGTTGGTGGAGGTGAAATTGAGTTTTCCGCGTAAAAAGCAGACCTCTCTGACCACAATCCGGCCACAAATCCGGCCAAATTCCGGCCGGATTGCTACAGTGACCATTTGGTCACTTCTGGCTCAATTTCCAGCTCTGCTCCGATTTTGCATCAACTTCCACTGAACTTTCCTTGATGATAAAAGCTGATTTAGCTCTTGACCAAAACATGAAACTTGTAGCCCTTTGAGTTAGCTTTCCAATGCATCAAGAATCACCTCATTTAGATCTGTGTAGGCTGAGAAATGACCGAAATACCCTTGCCTGCTCATTGCCCTGTTTCAGCTTCGACTAGTAGAAATTTGCTACTGTAATTCAGCTTTTTCACTTTGAAAACCTTCAAACTGGATTTAGATGTCTTCACCAAAGTTGTAGATATATCTCTTATCTTCAAATTGGTTTAAGAATCATCTCAATCCGATCATTGTAGCTCAAGTTATAGCCGAAATACGAAAATGTGTCAAAACTGTCAAAATACACAAAATCCAAGTAAAAAGTGATAAAAACCTCATTTAATCACTTAAAAGCATTTTTCACCAATTATAGCCAAAATAATTCATATTCTTCCAATAATATAACCAAAGTGACTAAAAATAATATAAAATGTCATACAATTATTACGTAAATTAGTCACTTATCATTTGTAATTATTAAGCATATTAATCTGCACAAATATATGCATTTATCTGAAAGAAAAAACAATTCAATGTTGATTATATATGCAAATTTGCCTTTCTATTGTCTTCAAAGCCTATTGCTCGACGAAAATATGGTTGCTCATGTAAGTGATTTTGGCATGACAAAGTTTTTGGATGAAGAAAATAGTGTTCTGCATACCAAGACACTTGCAACGCTTGGATACTTGGCACCAGGTTTGGCATATTTGACTTCTTTTTAGTTGCTTTTTTTATCTGTTTTTTTTCATGAATTATATGTCAATCTTCCAAGTTTTCTATTTTTTTCACTTTAAGCATGATGGATTGCCTTTCATATCACAGAGTATGGACTTGAAGGGCAGGTGTCAACAAGGGTTGATGTTTATAGTTTTGGTATAGTTTTGATGGAAACCTTTTCAAGAATGAAGCCTAGTGATGAAATGTTCGAAGATGATTTGAGCCTGAAGAGTTGGATTGAAGAATCTCTGCCTAATGCAACCACTCAGGTTATAGATGCAAACTTACTTGGGCGGCAAGATGAGCATTTCAATGAGAAATTGGAGTGTATTTCAGTGATCTTCAAATTGGCTTTGAGTTGCTGTGCTAAGTGCCCGCGAGATCGGACTAATATGAAGGATGTTGTGGCAACACTTCAAAAGATAAAACGTCAAATTAAGTATTTTCCGAATATCTCGGCATGAAAGCACGTTCTTTTACTTAATCCTACTGATCAAGTTTGCTCCACTCAAATAATCTTTCCAATGTCTTTTGTTGCAGGATGATGCCAAGATTTGAAACATGAAGCAAAATGAGTTATATTATCCACCTTAAGTATGCTGATATATCAATCATATATTTGTTTTAAGTTCATTTTCTAAGTTGTCATTTGAAAGGAATCCTGAGGAAAAACTGCATTTGCATAGTTCTGTTTCATGAAAATCTTTATTAGAGTTTTATATTTTGCACGCTTAAACCTGTTTCTTCCTTTTTTCCTTTGCTTGTGCATTAATCTTCTGCGACCAAGAATGATGATGACAATGATGAACCTTGAATTGGCAGTGGCACCACTAGTACTAAAGTGGGTGGAATGTGAATTTCTTGGGGTGCTGGAGATTTATTGTTCATTCACGGAGTCTTTCGATTTTGGGTGATGATAGTGGTATATTCGTCTATAGATACGGAAGCTCTAAGAGGATTTAGAAAGCAAAATCTTGGGTCTTGTCTTGATTTGCTTTTCAATTAAAAGGTCGCAGTAGTGGTGGTGATGGGAGGAGTTTGTGAAGGAGCGGCGGACCATGGTGATAGCTTGAGAGACGACAGAGATAGGAAAAGTTTGGGTCTGGTGATGATGGTGGAAGAAGAAAAGGGGAAACAAGAAAAAAAAAACGCAAATAGGAAAAATAAGAATTTTAAATATAAAAATGATAATATAATTAAATAGGGAAATATTGAAATTTCACAAACTTTCATTTAGACAAACGGTTCCATCCAAATTCCAGATTAGTCTAAAGTATAGGGACGTTATTTGGGGATTTTTTAATCTTTGCATAACCCTGCAAAGGGATATTAGTCCTACTACAATATGATTAAACCTATGTCGCTACCCAAAAAAAAAAAAAATTGTAGCTAGGAAGGTTGGGCCTTAACTAGTTGAGTTTGTCTCCTAACAATCTCAACCAACTTGTGAAATTGGTATCAATGTGTAGGGCTACGCTCAACATACTTCAAGACCATAACTCTTATCTTATTTCAACTGATCTTGTGATGACAAAATTATTATTAATATTATCATTATTATTATTTCTGTAACTTTTGTGTACACTTAAAACATGTTTTCCCTTCAACATACTTTCGCATATCATCAAATGCGGTTAAAAGATAGCAAGCAAAGATTCTTTTTACTCACTATTCAATTAGCTTCTTATAACACTGAGAGTACCCAAAAAAAAAAAAAAATTTTGGTCGCAACCCTAACTGCGAATGTTAACACCAGCAAAGTATCGTTTTGTATTTGTGGTCACCTCACCTCAGCACCGCAAATTCTTGACTACGGTACTGTTTACAATGAATATGGGGATTGAGCAGAATGATGAAGTTTAAGCTATACAGTTGTATAGGTATACATCTAAGATCAGTGAAAATCGGCTTTAATTTTTTCTGACTTGATTGGGTGGATAAATGTAAAATACAAAAGTGTGAAACTCGTTTCTGGGTTAAATGGGAAGACAATGTACCAATCATGTGGAAAGAAAGCATTCTATAGCCCAGAATAAACGATAACCATTGTACTTCTGGTTATGGTTTTGTTTAACACTTGTTTTCTAAAGAAGAATATCACAAGAGCTGAAAAAAAAATACGAAAAAAAAGATAAAAACAAAAAGGAAAAGTGTTCACTTGCCATACATGTATAACTATCAGGACAGAATTTGATGTTATCATTGTCTTATGATTGTCCTTGCATGTGCATTAGATGTTCCTAGTGTCTAGTATATACGGGAATAATTAGACAACTTGCCAATTCATTGATCCAAATTTTTTAAACCAAGGTTTTGAAAATCTTGCTCCTTAATTGGATTAGTAAACATTTAGGACTAATTCTACTTTGCACTTTTGAACTTATACCATTTTTCCACTTTGCATTTTAAAATTCAATTTTAGACCCTTTATATCCTAAATTTTTTAAATTTGGATACTATACACTTTAAACTTTCAAGTTTGTCTCATTTAAATCTAATTAATGACAACATTACTAAAATTAACGACATAAATGATAGTATAAGCTAATGATAATATATCGTTTTATTCTAATTGCGATCCCTTGACTCTTTTTGACCTTTTTCAACATATTATCATTGATTATTAACAAAATTTACGAAATAAAATATGATACAAATTAGTGACAATGCATAGTTATGTTCTAGTTACGATACCTTGACCTCTTTTATCTCCCGGAAAGGAGGAGTGTAAGCAGCCTTGAATCATTGATTTATAGAATTCTCCATGTTATTAATTTTGCTAATACTATAATTGATTGGATTTAAATACGACAAACTTGAGAGTTTGAGGTATAGAGTATCTAAAATTGAGAATTTAGAGTGTAAGGTATCTAAAATTGAAATTTAAGGTACAAAGTGGAAAAGATATATAAGTTTAGGAGTGCAACATGAAGTTAGTTCAAACATTTAAGAAGCCATTTCAACAAATTTATCCGGTTTTTGAACACCTCGACTCAGCAATGTAGATGAGTATTTAAAAAGAGCAGGAGAATATATATGAAATTAATATATTTGCACCAAAAAAGACTTTGGATAACGTATATACAGCACACTGTATACGAGTTGCTACCGTATCACATAGTATTTTTTTTGTTCCACTTTTCCTTAATATGCTATTTTATGGAACTGTAAAATTTTCCGAAGTCTTAGTCCTTAATGCTTAGAAAAGTTTGCCCCAGAATAAAATCTTGACTAGCGCTAGAAAATTTAAATATGCTTGCAAGGATGGGAAATATACAGATGCTCCGGACATTAAATCTCGCCCACTTGCCATCATCCTCATAGCGCTCTGACATCTAGGCTTGAGAAAGTCCAACATTCACTTTCAAAGAAGACCTGGACTCAGAAATTGGAGACCCGAATTGGTAGAATTATCCCAAAACACTCGTCCAATCTCTCATATATTTAACAAGCTCAAAATTGGTAGAATTAGTGTAGCTGGATTTTTCTTGGTTGAATGGGAAGATAATCTGTCGATTTTGTTGAAAGAAACTATTCCATTGTCGTTGTAAGTCTTGGGCGTGTTGGTGTTGGAAGGACATGCCATAAATTTGAAAATGAAAGTATAAAATTTTGCCCAACCGGACTATTTAAGATAGAGGAAACTATCTGCCCAATCCCTAAAATTTTTCTTATTGCACTCTTTTGACCCCTAAATAATATATTGTCGCAAACAAATTCCTTCATAAAAAGAGTGTCAAGTTTAAGGGGTTACGTTAAATGTAGCCACTAGTGCCAACGGAATGAGGTGTAAAATTGACCAAACACAAGAAGTTACCAAGGAAATTATCTGCCCGACCCTAAACTATTCCTATTATGTTCATTTAGCCGCTCAATAATACATTGTTGTAAACAAGTCCCTCAACAAAAAAAAGTGTCATGTTTAAGTATTTATATCAAATTTAGCCGTTAGTGTTGACAGAATGACAAGAAAATTTCTTAACGTTTTTCTTCTTGACATTTTTCTTAACCTTCATTGGGCTTTGATGAAATAATGAGGCAATTTCATCTGTGACGCCTTTTAGAACATTTCTCTTGATGTCTTGGTCAATTTTACCCCTTATTTCGTAAGTACTAACAGCTAAATTTGGCGTAAGTCCTTAAATGTGACACTTTTCTTTTGAAGGGTTTGGTTGCAACAGTGCATTATTGAGAGGCCAAAAGAGTGCAAAAAAATAGTTTAATGGTCGGACGGACAATTTCGTCAAAAAACTGTTAAGAAATTCTTGTGTTTGATCAATATTATCCCTCGTTCCATTAGCACCAACTTTTTTTAAGGGACTTGTTTGCAACAATGTATTATTAAAGAGCTATAAATGGGCAATGAGAATAGTTTAAGAGCTGGACAGAAAGATTTTTCTTTAAGATGTAAATACGTGTGTGTGTGTAGAGTTCTGATAATGTAGTATCGACATACACTGTAAGCGGATTGCACTGCTTTTTTCTTCCATTTTTCTATGATATGCTGGTTTGGGGAACTATTATAACCTTTTGCGAAATCTCGGTTCTCGATGGGTAGAAAAATTTGCCAAAGAATCGGTACGGGTAAGAAAAGTGAAAGACGCTTGCAAGACAAATGTCACTTACGATCAGTTACATTAGGATCTGATATTGTGACAGCAAAAAATTCCACATTTCATTGTCGAAGAAGGCGCTTGGACTCGTATAGACAACAAGCACTCGGTTTTGTTAATAGACAATACTAATTAAATTCAAATGTTCAACCATGGCTACATAATCAATAAAAAATTATTAAGAGTCTAACATAAAATTGGGTATCAAAAAAAAAATTGTAGGCTTCAAGATCAAGATACTAAGAACACCTAAACTTGCAACAGTTTCTTGGGAGAAAAAAAAATAAACGGAATATTGAGCAATGGCACAATGTATGGCTATTTCAACAAATTCTATATGGATTTGTTAATTAACTATTTATGCAGGTTTTGGAACACCACAACTCGGCATTGACAAAACTTTTATCTTCAACTAAGACAAGTGTATGTTCTGTGTCGTTTAAATTAGAGGTGTGTGTGTTTTCTTTGGCTAATTTCTTAGTTTATAGGTAAAAAAAAAAAACAATTCGCCAAATGTACCTCTGACACGGGCCTTTTCTCAAACTATAGCGGCCGTGCTGAGTCAGCACGGACGCATAATTAAAAATTCCACCAAAACCTGCTCTGCACAAAATTCAGTGGGTGTCAGAGCAGACGTGCCTAGTCAGCACGTCCACGTCTGACACATGCACAGACGGTAGTCAGTTTGGGATATGTTTATTGTAAGGATAAGTGACAGCCGGCTGGGCTCAACTGACAGAACCTTAGTCCATCTCATTAAGTTTTGCCAGCCTCCTTTGGATGGAAATGGAAGGGAAAGGATGCTAATAATATATTCCAGAGAAAGTTCTATATTTTTCAAGTTCAATTCATTTTTCAATTTTTTTAAATTTGGGAATGGAAGTTGAGAGGACAAAAAAAAAAAACACCCGGGGGGTTATGGGTGGGGGGGGGGGGGTTATGGAAATGGAAGGGAAAGGATGCTAAAAATATATTCCAGAGAAAGTTCTATATTTTTCAAGTTCAATTCATTTTTCAATTTTTTTAAATTTGGGAATGGAAGTTGAGAGGACAAAAAAAAAACACCCGGGGG